TGCAATAAGGCCATATTTCGATTCCGAATGAATCATCATCAGTGCTCCTTGCTGTATATATAGGGAAATATTGACAAAAAACTTTAGTGAGAAAAATCGAAAAAACGAACTACAAACATATTAACGCCAAACATTCGGTAGAATTTATAGAATATTGTAAAAATTATGGTCTATTACCAACATATATATATATATATAGAGAGAGAGAGAGAGAGTATAGTGGGAAGGACACAAACGCTATAGTGCGATTTCAATCCAATTTTCTATGTATGAGTTTTGTTAAAAAATTTGAAGTGTTGTCTACGTTACCCGTGTTTTATATTTTTAATGAAGAAAAATAGATGGATTTTTAGAATGAAAAATGGATCGGATATTGTTGTTAGTTAATTAGATTTTATTTTATAACTATTCTGATGTTTTTAATCATCGTTTATACATTTGGCTTATGCATATAATCCAGAACTTGCGTATTTAGAATGCGTTGGTATTTGTTTGCTATGAAAATGTTTGCTTGGATTGGCTTGATGTTGCGTGTGATGATGAAATAATAGTAGATAATGGCCTGTGGTTTTATAAATGTGTGTATTTGTGTGTGTGTGTTTGTCTGTGTTGTGTGTTTGTGTGTGTTTCTGTTTATATTTATATATCAAAGAGGTAGAATCGAATGCATTATACTAGGGCATAGTACATTTGAACTGCTCTGTCTCTCTAGTGTGAAGTAACAAAATGAATTGGTGTGAATTTTAATAAAGATTTTATGGGATAAACTTTTTTATCGGGAACTTATTTTCAAATAAGTTCTTTTACAATATGATATGATAATGTTTTTTAATGATAAGGACGGTAATGACAAAGATTATCCTGATATGATCATCATATCAGCATAATCTGTCTATGTGACTGTGATGTTAATGATGATGGTGATGTGCGAATGATAGTTAGAGATTATCATGTGGTACACTTTCTGATATAATGATAAAACGAGGTTTTGCGAGGATAGCAACATTTAACAGATATAATTATACACTGAAAACATAGGTAATATTCTCTTCTATTTATACAAACGATACATTTATTTAATTGGTATCAACGGGTAAGCCAAAAGAGATTCTTGTTGGATGGGCCAGCCTTAACTAAAATCAGAAATTATTGTCCATTTGTCAAAAATATTCTTCAACTAAAATAATAAATTGAGTAAATGAATTGAACAAAGTAACTAAGTAACATAAGCATTATCCGCTCGTAAGAATATTCTCTGACCAAAATAATTAATTGAATAATAAAATAAACGTACTGACAAATTAGCTATGAAACTTGATATTTGGTTTATTTGATTAGGTAGATATGGATTTCCCTAATAGTCGGTTCAATGGTTGGTTAGTCAGCTACGGTTATAATGATTCAGGGAGGTTTAAAATTGGCAGCAAATTTTTTAAGGCTTTTTTTAAGTCAAATGATTTTATTAATATTTTTATATTAAAGAGTCATATAAATATATTTATAACGGTATATATATATATATATATAATTATAGCATTTTAATTTGATGATATATAACTATAATGATGATGATTTAGAAAAGTAATGTAGTTAATTAATGTTTTACCCTTTGTGTTATTCTTATAAACGAATAGCATTGTTCTGTATATAATATATATTTATATGCGTTTGTATGTATATGTGCGTGCGTGTGTGTGTATATATATATAATATATATATGTGTATAAACATATATATATATATATATATATATATATAAACTATTATATATTTTTATTATACTTTATTTTTATTTGAAGATTTTTATTTCATTTCGAAATAATGATGATGATAATGTTAATAATAAATTGTGTAAACATACCCAAAAAAAATTTCGTTTTCTCTTTGACTGGATTTTTAAAAATAAAATTTAAATAATAATAATTTTTTGATTTATTGGTATGCAATGTGGGAAAAAACTTTTCTTTCCATTAGATTTACGTTTAAAAGTCTCGGAATACATGAGAATTAACGACCATTTTCAAAGCTTTTGCTGTTTGCCTGTGCGTGCGTGTGTGTGTGTGTGTGTGCGTGCGTTAGTTGGTTGATTGGTCGGTCAGTTGGTTGGTTGATCATTTGAAGGATGGATAAATGAGTAAATTTATGTCAAAACTTTGAATCCTTAAAATCCAATTTTTTTTAGAAATCAGGCCATGATGAAGGCATAAGTTTCTAGAACATCACGAAACTTGTGGTAAAAAATTATTTAAAATAAAAAAAAAAAAATCGAATTTATAAGAGAATATTTCGCAAGTATACAAATTTTAATCACCATCCTTATCGCCATTGCCATCCTATTCATCATTTTCATGTTCATCATCATTTTCTTCATCATCATCTTTATCCTTTTCATCATTAATCTTTATCTGATAAGTAAGTTAACATTGTTTTGCTTTAAGTTGTGCGTTCATGTGTTTGTTCTGCATGATTCATCATTCATTCGTTTGGAAGGTGAGTGTTCAAAAACGTG